TATTTAAACATTGTATTCAATGAATGAGGCATGAATAAAATAAACCACAATTTAAAATCTTCTCCAATGAAACAAATCAGACAAACAAATCAAAACAAACCAGTTTAAACAGATTAAAAACCTTCTGATGTAGGACCGCCGCCGGCCGCGCGCACAGAGGCGCGCCCCTCGACCATCTACGTCARAATCTGCGGACCGCGCATGCGCAGCTCGGCACCGTGTTTGATATCGTCACAGCCACAACAACAGCCGTGGAGAGCTCCGTGAGTGTCCCCCTGCCCGGGCCCGGAACCGGAGCTTGACACATACACGGTCCGGGCCACAGACCCAGAGGACCCGCAGGTGAGGAGCCAAACCCGCAGAACCCGCACAGACCTCCGGTAACCATCAGCCAGTCCCACCGCTGCCCACTGTMCAACCGGACCGAACCCTACCCTGTTGTCGGCGGGTAGCCAGATGCTAACAGGCTAATAGCACCATGCCCAGCTCCTGCTGAACCGAGCTGGAGGTCCGAACGGTCTGCCGCGAGCCGGAGCGTCTCTGGACAGCCCGAGGATGTTCGYAGTGACGCCCGCAGCCGCGGAGCATCGACCCGGCTCCTCCCAGACCGCTGGGCCCGGACAGGCCCGCGGAGCSTACATGTAAACCGGCTGACCGAGCCACAGAGTCCGGCTCCGGAGCTCCAGACCTGGGTCCAGAGCCGCAGCCATGCAGGCCGCGCAGCCGCAGTACGACTTCTTCAGCGAGGAGAACCACGGCAAGTGGAGAGGCCTGCTGGTTCCGTCCCTGGAGAAGGTACCGGTCCACCAGAACCTTCATWCGCCTAAAGGTTCTGTTCCTAGAGAAGGTCCAGCTCCAGCAGAACCTTCATACGCCTGCTGGTTCTGGTTCTGGTTCTATTCCTGCTGATGTTTTTGTTCATGTGTTTTAGTTTCATCCAAGCTCTAACAAAAAACCTGATCCTGGTCCACAGTCTGCTGAGGACCAGGATCACTAACCTAACCTGGTCCTGTTCAGGTAAATACTGTTGGTGGGTCAGAGGTCAGGGTTAGACTCAGTTGTGTACCTGTGAGGTCAGACTCAGGTGTGTACCTGTGAGGTCAGACTCAGGTGTGTACCTGTGAGGTCAGACTCAGGTGTGTACCTGTGAGGTCAGACTCAGGTGTGTACCTGTGAGGTCAGACTCAGGTGTGTACCTGTGAGGTCAGACTCAGGTGTGTACCTGTGAGGGTAGACTCAGGTGTGTACCTGTGAGGTTAGACTCAGGTGTGTACCTGTGAGGTTAGACTCAGGTGTGTACCTGTGAGGTCAGACTCAGGTGTGTACCTCACACTCAGGTGTGTACCTGTGAGGTCAGACTCAGTTGTGTACCTGTGAGGTCAGACTCAGGTGTGTACCTGTGAGGTTAGACTCAGGTGTGTACCTGTGAGGTCAGACTCAAGTGTGTACCTGTGAGGTGTGTACCTGTGAGGTCAGACTCAGGTGTGTACCTGTGAGGTTAGACTCAGGTGTGTACCTGTGAGGTC